ATTCCAAGTCTACAATATATCACAGAATTTAAAAGCCAATGATAATAACTTAGTCTCTACTATCTAAGTTCAAAAGTGTCTCAAGTATTTAAAAACCAGAGTTTGGACTAGCTTCAGAGTCTGCTTGCATAGCTCTGTGGTTAACCTCAAAGTTATGCAGCTTTCTCTGGCTATTCCTTGAAACAATGTGCAAAAAGATTATGCAAAAGCACAATCTTGCTCTTTAGATAATACCACTAAAGACTGAACAAATGACTGCAAGGAAAAATCAGCCTTAATGTTCATCAGTATAAATTTTACCTTCTCTATCCTATTTCTTATTAGTACCTATATCATGGGTGTCAAACTCACCACATCACATGACGTGACATATCGCGACTCTTTTTGCATTGCCGGCAATGGGATGGGCGCGGCTTTGGTTTGATGAAACTGGCCCGTGGGCCGGCAGTTTAACACCCCTGACCTATATCATTAACTCTAGAGTAGGGGTGTCAAACTGCTCGCCCGGGGGCCAGTTTCATCAAACCGAAGCCGCACCCATTCCATTGCCGGCAATGGAAAAAGAGTCGCAATACGTCATGACATGTCACGTGATGTGGCAGGTTTGACACCCGTGCTCTAGAGCAAGAGGTATTGTGACATATTGAGGATAGATATAGTGTGGTTTTGGGTTACCTGAAGCATCTGGTTGGACAAAGATGGAATAAAATGCTAGATAAGGCATTCTTCTACAAACTGTTGACCTTGAGATGAATTAAAGCCACAATTCCAAGCTTCTTCTATGTTAGCCTGAAATTTGGGAAATTATAGTCCTAACACATCTTGAGAGCACCACACTGAAGAGGATTAAGATAGGACTATTCACCTGATCTGGTGTTCCTAATTTCTATCTGATTGGGTTCCATGTAGCACTAATCATTTGCCTAAGTATGGTTACTGAATGGGCTAAATATACTAAACCCAAACAAGCCAATTTTATTATGATTTAAAAGCAATATATGAATTCAGCCTTTCCCACCCTTCTCAATTTCAGTCCAAATGATTTTCAATGAAATTAATCCTGCTGTTTCATGCAAATCCAAGTAAATAATCAGAACTCAACTAGATTCTAATAATGCCACTGCAATTACGTATGTAAAAATTTGTAACACTGACTTTATTTTATTTACAACCTTTAAACCTTGTATTTCACTCAAAGGGTAAATGTAACAGGTTCCTTCTCAAAAAGCTTGTTGATAAGCCACAACTTTGCCTTTACCGATGTGTATAAAATTTTCACTAAGCTTCATTTGCAAAGATTCCTTCTGGATGAAAATGATAGATCACATTAATCCCCCCCAAGATGTTTATACATAGAGTAGGCAAATTTATGAATTATAGTAGATTTGGAATTATGTTAGCCTATTGAGAGCATAGTCACAAATGGTTGTCATGGAGATGGGCCTACTCACAAAATGGGAGCCATTATAAGCATGTATAACAGTATGAGGAAATGGTTTTGGGAGACAGAAAGAAGAGCCCAGAGGCTGGACAACAAGCATATAAAAAATATTTCCACCCACAGAAGGAGGGAAACGTTTCAGGAGGGACTCTCCCTAGTTTTCTGGAAAGCAAAAGGAAAGGAGAAAAGAAATACTTTTAGTTTTGCAAGAATGTGTCAGTGGAACCTTACAATAAAGTTAGAATTAGTGAGGATTTCTGGTTGAGGAAAATTGAGGACTAAGACACCTCTGAATGAGCAGGGATGACTTTGTGGCAGTCACAGCAGCAGGGTGATGAAACCCTTCGGCAAGAGGGTCTTTTCTGAAACGTTTCCCAAAGTCATTCCCACATCCCATTACAGCACGACTAGTCCCAAAAGAGAAGGTCACTTACCAGATTGACCCTGCATTATTCACCAGAGGGAAAATAGTCCTAGTTGCTTTCTTCTATCTCAGTGAAAACTCTACGCAATCCTGAGGCATTTGGGCAAATAAAGATGCTACAGATAGCCAGCATGCAACATGCTTCTATTCAATACCAATTTTTCATTTTAGTTTAGTTTCATTTAGTTTAAAGAAACCAGAGGTAGAATAAGAATCCATTGAGATTTGGAGATTTTGGGGGCACCCTGGTGTCTGGGTGCCAAATTACTACCCTGACATGTGCTAATGTTATTAATTTCCATAATGCATGTTATCTACTTTCTTTAGGATCAGAGATAAGGAGAAAGAATTCTTTTTCAAGGACTTTACAATCTAAAAAAACCCCCCAACAACTTGGAAACTATATGCAGATGTTTCAGTTTAGGCCAGATTACAAGCAGATATGAAAATGAGCAGGTTATATGCCAAGGATTCAGGAAAAGATCAACTAAGAAGAGGAATTAGAAAGAAGCTGGAAAAATAGCAACAGATAACTGTGTGAGTGTCTTTTATAGGATATTAAAATGCTTTATTTTTTAAAAAACAGACTACATTATCCAGACTGATATAATTCCTTATTTCTTTCCCTTTCAACTTAGAAACCACAAAATTTTACAAATACCAGGCATGGGAACAGAGCAGAAAATGCCCTTTTTGTTTGTTAAAAGCTTCTTCTCCAGACATTTCAAAGAAAGCAAACAATCAAGTTAGTTTAAAGGAATCAATGGGTTTTGACTTTTCCTTCAACCAAGAAAATAGCATCCCAAAAATTATTTACAAAAAAATGGTGCCAGAATGGCATCCCAACCAGCCTGAAATACTTTGAAGAAGCAAGTGTGCTTGGGTCCATGGTTTTATTATGTACATTACTTAGCAGGAATAACAAATAATAGGGATTTCTATTCATTGGTTGTTTAGCGTTGCACCCAAGCTGGAATCACCGGATTGCTTTTTAAATAAGCCAACAAGAAAAAAAGGGGGTGGTAATGGAAACCCTGACTTTGAAGAATTTTGGCTGATTCTTAGAGCTAGACAATGTTTGGCAGGGATGGATGCCAAAGATCTGCAAGGAAGCATCAATCTGTGACACAGGGGAAAAAACAGCCTATATTATCACTAAACAGTCTTCCTGCAGACCCAAGACATTCTCTTTTCTCTTTAGCTATAAAAAAAACTGTCATCCAGAGAATCCAGAAAAGTGTTGCTCATACTCAAAATAAAAAAAAAGCTAAAAGTTACAGAATGCCTGAGATGCGTAGCAACAATTTGGAAGGCAACTTTTGTCATAGCCCCAGCAGCACATATGGCTCATCAGTTTCCTTTTACAAAGGACCACCCAATAAACTGCAGTTATAGCCATCGAAAGGAGTTTGATGATCCAGCGAAACTTCAATACAACCTGTCAATGCTTGACCTAAGTGGGTGGCTGCTTCCTGACAAGCTGAGGCAGACTGCTAGGAGAAAGGCATTAACACGGTGATGAGGTACAATGCAGAGGAATGAATATGCCCAGGCCTTCCTCAACAGTCTTATGACATGTAGAAACTGAGTCTTCCAGATATGAAAGAGAGCCGATCATGGACATTATCTTCTGCAACAAGAATGGCTGATTCCTACCAGTTGTTCTTAAAAGGATAAACACAAGAAAAACCCTGACCAACAGGAACATGGTTTTCAACCAATGTAGTTTTTTCCTGCATAATTTTTAAATATGTAACTGCTGCTCTTCATTTAAGATAAGCCAGAGAAGGCTAACAGGAATGATCCTGATGCAAATGAATTCAGAAACTAAGCTAAGCTATTGTGTGTTGCACTTGGTTTGGACTGAGAGTTGTCCATCATGATCTGTACACCATGAATTATGAGTAAGCAAGATGTGGAGACCCAATTGTGGGCTGCTGAAATGCAGCAATTTTTCAGGGATTCAAAAGGAAGACTTTCTCCCTGGTTAAAGGTATCACACTGAATCTAGTGCATGTGCATTATACAATCTGTACATTATAGACCAGTGATGGCGAACCTTTTAGAGACCGAGTGCCCAAAAACTGGCCCCGCCCCCACTCCACCCCCTGCCCCGCCCCTGCCCCCACCATGCCTGCCCGCAGGACCACTCACCGCCTCCAGGGCCCACCGCAGATCACCCAGCAGCGCCATGGCAGCCACGCCCTCTGCCTGCGCCCCGCAGCATCAACTGTGCGCGATGGGGCATAAGGGCAGAGTCTTGTCTACGCTGTCTGGCTGCCATGTCCTTGGCTGCACTGCTCCACGTGGGCCACGCTTGGGGGCAACTCTCCTCCAGGGGGGCTGCTGATGAGGAGGGGATTGCAGGGGGAGGCAAGGCTGGGGCAACGGCACGTGTGCCCACAGAGAGGGCTCCGAGTGCCGCCTCTGGCACCCGTGCCATAGGTTCGCCACCACTGTTATAGACTATACTTAGGGAAGGACTATATAATCCTTCCCAAAATATGCACTCCTCAATAGTTAAGACTATATCCTGGTGTGATGGGTAGCAAAGTTCAGCTGAGCAATAGTAGCTTTTTTCAGATTAACTGATGAAGTGGATTAGTTTTAAGGGAAGTCCTTGTTTGCTGAGCTATTCAAGCCAACACATATACATCTATTTCACACCTCAAGATGAATGCAATTTATGCACTCTCCAATAAAAGTCTCCTTCATATCAAGTTTAATTCTTGGTAGATATAGATTTTTTTGGCAACAATATAGAAACTGCTGCTTTCTTCAAGGACATTTTCTTGACTTCCTAATCCTGCTCAGTCCTGTGTTTCTTTGGTTGCTTCCGTATCAGCTAAGTCTCCTGTTCAAGAATTATCCAGGTCTGATGCAGCTAAGCTTTTTGAGATGAGCTAAAGTTGGCTAGGTGGCCCATGATTTCATTTTAGCAATTAATTCATAATATTTGTCTAGAACAGAAGCAATTTGTCATCCTATTGCTCCTTTCAGTCTCCTTTTACAAGCTTTGCCACTCCTGCTCTTATAGTTTATTAACCTTCGGTTTTATCATCTTGGAAGCAAAAGAATGTGGAATGGAAGTGAAAACAGATGAGAGTTAGCCAAACTGAGCCACTGAATACTTACATCACTCTTCCTGAACTTGGCTTTCAAACTCTTCATGTTTTTTCCATTCAAACCTTACACGTTTTCAGCACCTATGTAAGGGGGGGAAACAGAGATGTAAAGAATACGTATGCTTCCAGCTACATTTGGTTGAAATTTAATAAGCATTAACTACATTTTCTTAAATGGAGTATGACATTAGTTTAGGCAAAAATGATATCCAAATCTATTGTTCAATTTCACCTGCTATATTAAATAGCAAAAAAAATTATATGCAGTGATTTTTCTATGCAACAATGGAGAAAGGGATCTACTTTTACATGTGCATTTTCAAAGTACTTATAGCAAAGCTGAATAAGTATGACATAATCTCCCACCTTTTGCTCTAGCCATTTTTTTTAATCCAGCAAGAAAAAATGCACAATCTTCTTTTGTGATTACAACCCCATGGCATTGTTCTCCAAAGCAGTAATGAATATATCTTCTGTATAAAATAATGAAATCTCTAAAAGAATGGTTTTCTATATCCCCATCATGCATTTAATAATATGCCTGGTAAAGTATTCATTGGTTTTATAGGCCATGCTATAAAGGGTTAGTTGCCTGCAGTGATTCATCCCACACCAAGGCCTGCCTTTTCTTATCTTGTTCAATTGAAGCAGAATGTACTGTACAACACCCAACTTGGCTGTTTCCTTGTCAGCTAAGTGTATGTCATTTGCAGCTACAACTTAGCGTGGCCAAGGCTTTTCTC